CTGTCTCTCTTTGGCCTCTGGCGCGCGCTGCGCCGCCTCCCCCTGCGCCCCGTCCCCGTCTTTTGTCTCCCGACACTGACCGTGCGCCGGCGCAAAACTATGTAAGCTCTGTGACAGCGGCGTAAAAACGCAATGACGTTCGAAAGTTGTGAATCATGTAACGATGCATCCTTATTGGTGTTCCATACATAATTTGAAAATTTTGCTTTTACTGTTATTTATTGTTTATGCATCACTCTTGACATGTGGATTTTTTAGAAATGAACCAGTTTTAAAAGTTGGGCCAAACATATCATATTATCATTTTATCTTTAAATTTGTATGACGTCTACACGATACATATTTTAATGAATTACAATTCACTAAAATTGCTGAAAAGTCAGGAAAATAAATTAGTATCTATTAAGAAACGTTCGGAAGTAAAACTAAACAAAAATTTAGTTTTAAATGGTAACAAAGCAATGGGAATTCAAGACTTTGAATTTAAAAAATCGTTCACGACAGGTAATGCTTACCTAAAATCACCGTTTGGAACAAAATAACTGCAATCAATAATAAATAAAAATGTTGAATGAAAGATTGTTGTAATTAAAGAGTAGGCGGTCAATGTTACTTTTGTCACATTTAGTACACATGTTGAATGCACTACGTTTTTCATTAAGTTATTGCAAATGTTAATGACAATCATCTGAATTCAACACACTTTCTGTCATTGAAGGTCGTCATCCGTAGTCTACTAATTATATTGCTACGTAATTGTGAATAAAAGTGTACATAATTTCGTAATTTTGTAATATTTAGCCCACATTTGCAATGTTTACAAATTTGAGTGAAGGACCGTAACCCAACATTCTTATGTACACTCTACATATACATTTCAGCTCACATTCATCTACCTAAATATGAAATCACGCCAATCCACACTCTACCACTCCACTCATCCTTTATCCCACAATATACCACTCCAGCCCACTCCGCCTCATCCCACTCCACTTCACTACATTCCACGTCATTCCATACCACTCACATCTTTCCACATTACTCCGTCTGACATCACACCAGTTCATCCATCTCCACTGCAATCCACTCTTCATTCCATCGCCGACCATTATCGATTTCACATCACGTCGCTGAGCACACACTACATAACTGTACGTTTAACACTATGCAAAACACCGGTCAACAAAACTAAATGCTGCCTCTACAATCATACATCCCGCCACGTCAACATATATCCCGTCACGTCAACATTCGTCCAGACAAAGCACCATTCGTTCATCGCAAAACCTACCAAATGATATCTTAATATGCCATGTCAATTATCGACCAGACAAAGCAACATCGCATCCACCCCACCAATTTTGCACGCTACACATACACTGATTATCAACCATCGTAGTACCACATGACTGCGAATTCTCATATCATTGACATTGTGTCTGCACGTATAATTTTGAACATCATGAAGCATGAAGGCAAGACATCTTAGAAGGCATTACTCGCATGTACTTGTCACAATGTATTCGTACATATATTCAATGCCCAACTGTATGAACGAACGCAATGCCCAACGATTGTGACGAACTATTCGAGATGCGCTCGAGGCCATTGCTTTGCCCGGGAGATATTCACAGAAGCTCCGCAAATGCGGAATGCCGCACTCGCCTTGCACACATGCACCGTCCGCAACCACATTGCGACGAGCGTAGAAGGCGAGGGTGCGCTAGAGGCCAACGACCTCTCACCCCGCCCGCGCAGCCCACGCTGCCCCCATCCCGGTGCGGAGAGCCGGGCGCGCGACGTCAGCAGCTCTGTGAAGGCAGGGAGTAGCCTTCGCGCGAGGAATCTGTGCACTCAGATGACGTCACGTGAAGGGAGGTTCTGCACTGAATGAATGCCGCCTCGAAAACATCGACTTCCAAGCTCGTCGCGAGGTAGCGTCGTCACAAAAGAAATTACATTTACATTGCGTGTAAAAAAAAATAAGGATACAAGGCAACCATGAAACAAATTAAGGCACAACAAACGTATGGACAATAACAATCCTTTACTCGCATTAGGCTGCACGATGAATGCTGAAGAGCGATAGAACGCGTACGTGGATGTATTGCGCAAGTGCAGTGCCTCTATTCTCGTGAGCGTCGCTTGCATTTTAACGGTCGTCGCATGCACAGATATCGTGCGCGAACTCTCTTCGTGGTCGTCATTTTCGATCCTTTTCTCGAATGGCACAGTGTGCAACTCGTGTGTAAACACGTTTTCGAGAAAAAAATTGTCATAAAACACAAACGAATGCGTTTCTAACACAATAATGATGTAAAGTGTTTCCCTGTCTGCGTAGTTTAGTTTTTGATTTGGTTTTCACTTCATAAGGATCCACTATAATAGAATTTTTTTAAAGGCCACTCTACACGTATGTGAAGGCAGCTCTACATGTCTAAAATAGTGTTTTCTATCGATTTTTTTACTTAAATCGGATCTTAAATATCATTAAAATAAAAGGAATTGTTCAAAACATATTTTGTACAAATACAAACATTCTCATGAAGTTTCTTAAAAATAAATAAACAAGGACCTGGAATCTTATAAATACACTATGAAATACGGTTGGTTGCACAAATTAAATTATTAATATTAATAATTAGTTAATGACAAAAGATATAAACGCCGACTTTACAGCAATGTCTCCGAACTAACATCTGTCAAATAAGGATCGAACATGGCGGCGACGAATACTCGCCTTTATAGTGCCTTACGGCGTCTGTGCAAGGTCTGTCCCCTCTTCACTGGCGTGTCTCTCTGTCCGCTCCCCGCCGAGCAGACGCGCCGGCCCTAGCACGCGGCCGGACGCCACCGACCCCCACCACCACCACCACCATCACCAACATCACCACAAACACGGCGGCGACTGGAAGCGCCTCCGCCGCCGCCGCAGCCGCGCTTCACTGTAAGTGCCAGGGGCGTCCCCCCACCCACCCCAACGCCCCACCCCACCCCTCACCACCAACCCGCCCCGCCCCCGCCCGAGCAGGAAGTAGCGCGGCTCGTAGGCTCCTCCTCCCTCCCTCCCTCTGGTCTTAGGCCCCAGGCTCTCGGCTGCCCGAGCGATGTCGTTGGCAGTGCTGCCAACGTTCCGGCCTCCTGTCGTTTCCCAGAGGAGGCCGCAATGGCCGGGGTAAGCCAGTCTCTTACGACGAGACGTCGTCCGGGCAGCAGAGAGGGCAGGGCTCCCCTCTCCCACGCTCACATCACGTTGGCCACATTCCCTTGACATTCACAGCCTCATGATGGACGTTGGTATAATTGGTTTATAGTTGCACTCTTCGAAACGCCACCAGACGTAATATGTTCATTTGGTTTCAGCTCAAAAAGTTTAAATAATGCTGACGTTATTTTACTTTTAAGCAGTGATGCTTTCACTAACTGATCCCTATGTATTCTAAACGACTGACCCTCGACGACACAGATTGAAAGTAACCAGGTTATTTCAATAACAACTGCCAGTCAGACGATATTTATGAAGTTGACAACGTCCATTATTTTTCTATTCCTGATGGATTCCCCAATTACTTTGTAAATACTTCGCAACACTTGCATCTCCTTAGTGTCGATCCATCCTTGCCAATCCATCCGCTGCTGTATGTGTAGAATGTACGGTAGATTTGCAACCCCAGATGAAGTAGAGCATCGCCTGAAACGCATGGTATATCCGGAAGCGTTTCCAGGTGAACATGAATAATTGTGCTTGTACATTGCTGGTATTAAATAAGTATTAAGATGGAAAAATAAATTATCCACTAATATGATTCTATTGCTTATAAACCTCAAATATACGTACTGACATAACTTATGTGCCTATCATTGATAAATAGATAATTTCCATTTTTTTCTATTATGCCTGGAGTAACATTTTGGGATTAAAGGAAAGCAATGTAACATTCACCCGCCTCAAAACGGTTGTAAACAGGTAGGTTATATCACGTCCTCACAATGTTTCATGCGATTTTAAATCTACTTTGAACGAGAAAGACTACAAATTGTATGCATGCAACAAAAAATCTGTGAAACAAAGCAGTAATGTGTTCCCTAAATCAGACATTTGGTACCCAGTTCTTGCCTACATCATCTTTATACACCTTGTACCTGTCGTCAGCTGAGAAGGAATTGAAAGGTGAATTTGAGATTTTTCCCATCCATCGATTCCCACTCCACTTCACTCTGTTATTTAATCATTGTTCGTTACGTTCGCTGTTCTTATCAGTACGTAAATTCTTACTAAATCATATATTTAATCTAAAAATAATATATTTTACGTACATTATTTAAAGTGCGCGGTCATGTTAATAATGACAGGCGAAAACGTCAGTAGATATCTAATAATTGATCAATATTTCGCATTTCCTTCTTCATAATCTCTTTCTTTAGACTTTAATTTAATCCTCTTGGAATACTACATCTTAGAATTTCGTGACGTCAATTTCACAATGTATCGGTAGCGATTCGTGGGAGTATCTTGGATGTTTATACGGTTGTCAATTCACTCTCATCTTTTTCCTCCCCAAAGCTTCATCGATCACTCAGTACATGTGTTGACTACAACCGTGCCCTACATTGTACCAGCCACATATTCTCAACAACTGGTAGATACAGAAGATCAGCAAAAATGAGTTCATGAAGATCCTCTCGCAGCAAATGTCCATTCATTACCCCAGGTCCCTTGGAACTCCCGCCTCCGGAGAACCCTGACACTCCTTACTCACCCCTTGCCTCCGGAGGGTGATCTGGTTACCCTCCCGCAATGCCACTCTTTTCCCATGCCCTTTGAAGCTGTTGCCTCCGGAGGGCCACCTAGCTACCTCTCGCGAAATGCCCCTGCTACTCCTTTCCATGCGCCCTTGCCTCCGGAGGGCCACCCGTTCCCTCCCCCTCCCCCGCGGCCGCCCCGGCGCCGGCGCGGGGACCGCCGGGCGGCGCAGTGACGGCGCGTCTTCTGTTCCAAGGGAGGAGGGGCGCAGCTTCCCCGAGCGAGTGCAGGTCAAGCTGAAGCAACGCCTGCTGGTAGTGTCGAACTCGATGACGCGCCAGGACACCAAGGACGACGAATGCGAAGAGTCAGTGCTCGCGCTCGCACGGCACGGCACGGCGCGGCCCGGCCCGGCCCTCGCCTGCCGCCGCCGCCGCCTCCGCGATCCGCTGCATGCCCCCCCCCCACACACCCCTTCGGGCTCTCTCACTTCGACTCACTTCCCCGCCCACCGCCTCCAACGGCCTCCGTGTGCGCTCCGGTTCGAGTTTTTTTGTTCGTGCTCCTGTGGGTGGTTCCTTTGCCGAGTTACGACAACTTCTATGTGGATTTTCGTTTTCTTCTGTTACTTTTATCTGTGTTTCTTGGCACTACTGTCTCCGCGACCCGAACCTTCGACCCCTGTCTCCAACTTGTTTGGGCGATCCGGTTTGTTTCTTTGTTCGTACTCCTTTCAACGTCCCTTTTGGCTTTTCGTTCAATTCCTTTCGATGTTGCTTGTTCCTGTTTCTTGTCTCCGTGAACTTCAACCCTTATTCCCTCCTCGTTTGCATTGTAATTTCATTCTTTTTCTTGAACCTGAAAGTTCCTCATCGAGTGAAACCCATCGTCTTCTTTTTGGATTTTAATTTTAGTTTGTTTGATATTCCTTTTATCGGGTTGGCACAACTGATGTCTTCCTACGACCTTCCATCGATGTCATTTCAACCCCACCTGCTACGTGTTTCGTGACTGTTAAGGTACTTCCTTTTTCGTGCCCGTGTTTGTTCCCCCACTTCTGGTAACCAACTTTTCTATTTTTGTTTCCTTTGATATTCCTTATTTTCTGACGTTGTTACCTTCTCTATCTTCCCCTCTCTTTAACTCCTCCGTCACCGTCTCAACCGGCTTCTAACGTGCTTTCGGTTTCATTTCTTTGTTCATTCCTCTGATTGTTCCTCATCTGTCAAACACCATCGTCTACCTCACTTCCTGCATTTTCGTTCTATTTGTTAATTTTTTTCAAAACCGATCCACTTTGTTTTTTGGACATCCAGTACCCTCAATTTCATCATATACGAAATTATGTTCTCACGTTATTTTCATAAAAATTTCATTAACATTTAATTCATTAAAATTTAATCCATTAAAAATTCCTTCCGCTTTCCTCCATGATAATGTAACATTCTTTCCTTGCATTTGTTGCTTTCACCGTGTATTTCTCTCTGCCATAATTTAACTTTCGTCATACCTTCCAATATTATTTCCCTGATCCTTAATCATATTATTTTGTCTACTTCATTGGTAGTAATATTTGTCTACCTTCTTCTCTTACAGCCTTCAAAGTCACTGCTTTGCTTTCTAATTCACTTCATTTCTCCTTTTTCATTCATTACTTTCTGTATCCTTGTTATTCGTATGCATAACTGCCATCGTTTCGTTATATGCCTCAAAGCTCAATTTTTTTATTTTTGTTTGGCTACACAAATATAAATGAACATTTCTGGTCCATCTTTTTCTTGTGCTTTATCGTTTTTTAACTGTTTATCATAAACATTATCTTCCACTTACAATCTTATTTTTCTTGACCTACTCCTCCCTCTTCGAGAATCTCGCACAGTCCCAAACCCTTAGTATTAAACTTTGTCCACCATCATCCTTTGATTTCTACCGTTCCTCTTCCCGAAATTAACAAAACTAAAATCATTTCTTTCATAAATTGTTAGAATTTATAAAATAGACTTTGTTTCAAATCGTAAGTTTGTATTATCGCGAGAGTATCTTTACGCTTACAAAACGCGGAGCACACTTCATATAACTACGGCTAATCGAATCAGTACTTTCTGAAAAGGGCTTATTTGTTATTATTAAATATATGACAGTATTTTATACTATGCCTTTTCATGTTTTTGCTCTCTTAAAGAAACTTCGGTAAGTCAAAACTACTCTTACACTTTATACTGAAGTATAAACTACTTTTATACTTAAAACTTCTCCCCCAGTCGTCACACTATTTACTGGTTTTAGAAACTAAATCAATTCAAATCAAGATACGTGACTTCCTAGAAGTCATTGTGAGGGAAAACGAGTTACGCAAATGGAGGATAGATAAAATCTGCATCTTTATCACCGCGCTATATTACATCATGCAATTTTGATTATCTCTTAATAACAATGTTTATATTAAACTCGTCAGATTCTTGTAAGAATCCAGTAAGGTCTGATACAAATATCAAGAAATAAATATCGTTCTCTCATGCATTTCTTATGATTTTGCTGGAAACAAGATCTTAGGAGAATGAGTCGCCTAAACGTATTGCACTGAAATTCAATCCTCTGTTTCCATGCCTTATGAAAATTGAAGAGCCAGGAAACCCACTCACCTTATACTCACTAGCACCTTTCTTTCAACATACGTAAACTCCATAAGAGGGCAGAGGATCACCCCACGTCCTTTTCTTCAAAACTTCCGTTTAAGCACTTTTTTCTCCCTTCCCATCTCCACACCTCCTTGTGTACATGTAATGTGCCCCACGCTTGGGAGTTTTTTTTCGGTTGTTTGAATGATTTGTGCACCGACACCTCGAGATGCCATCTCCGATTCTGTGACCACTGCATTTCCGAAGACATTGCGTGTTTCGCACAGGCAAAGGTGTCTCGGACTCGCTAACCAGACTTCGCTTCCTTGGCTCTAAGTGTCGCGTTCGTGATTACCGTTTTGCCCCGCCACCGCCACCGCCCCCGTTCCCTCTTCCCGTGTGCGAGGCCACATCGTCGTGAGCATTTTCGACGACGCAGAGCACCCGATGTGGACAGCTGCAATTCCGTCCCGCCCACCCCCACCCTCTCGGCCCTCGACAGCCATCTTCTAGCATGTCTGTCCGCTTCATCCGGCTTGCCCAAGCTTCTTGTTATAGCCCCTTTCTTATTCTTCTTCGCCTAGTGTTAGTGAACGTAAATAACGAAACATTTTGGATTTCATTATTCGTCCGTGAGTCACTTCAACAGTTCAGGAAACATTATCGAATTTTGTAATGACGAATTCATTTTGTCTCTGTCTTTGTAATAATATTAGTTCTTAAGACATTACCCTCAAAACAAATATATTTTGTAACTATTACTTTAAAAAATATTATATATTACATTGTATTATATATATATATATATATATATATATATATATATATATATATATGGTTTATATTACATTTGATATTTTCAGATTTATCGATTCGATGATATATCTAAAGTTGTATAAGTTGATATAGTTTATTTTTGCACTATTATTATTATTATCATTTTAATTTAACCAGGCATTTGTTTTGTCTGTAACCTAAAATAAAACTTAAACGCCAGAAAAAAGGACGGTTTGTAATAATGAAATATACGTATTGCAACTCCAATAAAGAAAAAAAATGTTCTTGATGGCACGGATAACTCTCCCCATAGAAGACTTCCCCGGCTGTATCATTGTGAATCCATTTCACCAGTAAATGATTATAAAGAAACAATGTTAAAAGCGGTATGTTTCCTGGCACATGCGTAGTGACCTCGGAAACCCTTGTATATAACTTGTTGGCTTGATAAGTGTAGCACAATGTTGCATGTATGGCTATAGTTTATGTACAGCTGGTGGTCAGTGTCGTTATGTGGTATTCTGATAGCCTGTAGAGTGACGCCTGTTTTGATAGCCCCTAGCATGGAGTGACCCCCCGCATCTTGATTGGTATTCTGGATGCGCTCTATGTGTTTTTCTGTTTGCAAGGATAGCGGCTGCTGAAATCGTAAGTGCCCACGTGTTTTGATGTTGGAATGAAGTATTGATGTGTAGATTTGTAGTTCACTTCTGAATGTGTTTTTATGGCTTATGCATTAAAATAGTATAATATTTAAAAATAAAATGTAAATAAATTTAAAATAATTGAAAATTGCGTTGAATGTTCTAATTCAAGCTTGGCAAACTCGAATAACTTACTGTAATCAGCAAACTTACATCTGCCAAAGCCTCGTTCAAAACTTAATTGTATTAGATGTTCGTTACGCAGCTTAACGCTCGGTGTATCTTTTTCTTCATAACTGCCTATTCAAAATCTTTTTTCATTCTCTGTCCCAATTCTATAAAATTCCAAAATCCTAGAGGTATAGGCATTTCTTTCAACACTCTAGCGGCCGTCAAATTCAGCTTTTTCCAGGATACATTGCAGTGAAAAGAAAGGCTGTGTAAATTCTTCAACAAATGCTTTAAATATTATAATCTTAAGGATATTATTTATTTTTTCAGAAACGACGGCAGAAAATGAATGAAAATAAAAGAATTTTAACTGATAGTACATTACTTTTCTCAATTTTCTAGTTCTTAAAATAATGGTTACTTTCATATTAGTCATCGTGCGCTGTAGAAAATTCTATTATAAAAAGAAAGAATATGAAGAAATAAAGTTATTTGTTTAATGTGCGGTATAATTTGTAAAGTACAGTATTATACATTGTACTACGATTCTTAAGTTGTTTTTTTTTCTAAAATTCGTATGCATTGTCCCAATTTTAACCGATAGCATAATATACATAAGTATCTAAATAATAAACATATATTTCATATCTCTATTTCGAATTGCTATAGTGAAGCTTCGTCACGTTCCGACGTGCTACTGAGCTACAAGCTGAAGATGTCTTGGTCTTCTTCCTTGATTAGGAGATCAATGTTTTGCCATTCTCCTGTGTGGGACAGTAAGAACACGTTTATAATCGCTTCGGCGAATGTCGGTAGTACATTTAGAAACCTCCTGGCGCAAAGAATAAATAAAGAGCACTGGATGATGATCGATGGCACGTAATTCCGGATATCTTGCATCGCACTTTCTTTCATTTTAATTGCAAAAATAATATCCCTTATGTGAACTTGAAAATAGAAAAAAATGTCTACTGTAGCTAACTAAAAATGTGAACTCCTCTTTATGATCTCAAATGTGCTGCTAAATTTCCTAGTGAAAATAGTTGAAAATTGTAAATCATAAATTTTCAAACCAAAAAAACCTACAATATATTCTCCAAATCAGCAAGAGCAAGAACAATGTACTTGAAATATTTCAACAAGTTTTGCTTCTTAAAATGTTCTAATAGGGAATTATTTCGAAGAGTAAAATTTGTAAAAAAAAATCCGTTGATTTTCTGTGTAATAAGTTATGTTTAATTCGGGAGTACCTATTTCATTTAAAAATATATAGTAAATTTATAGAAAGTGTTTGAGGAAACATTCCTGAAGCCAAGAGACAACCCAAAAACGGAAGAGCGGTAAGATATCTCGTTGCCGTCGAGCCTCACGAGTGTGATTCCTTGCGCCGGAGCGTCCAACCGCTGCGCTCCCTCCCCCGCGCGAAGCGCCGCCCGGCCCCACCCCCACCCCCCCACTGCACGCGCGGGCGCCGGCCGGCGCCGGGCAGTGTGTCTGACCCTGACGTGCAGGCGCGTATCTTCCAGCTTCAAGCACAACGCTTCGTTCGTGTCGCGGCTGCCCACCATCCGCCGCCACAAGAGCACCAGCCTGCACTCGCCGTCGCTGGCCAAGGGCAGCGGCGCGGGCTCGGGCGCGGGCGGCGGGGCGGCTGGCACCCCGCGGGGCTTCCAGGACCTCAACGCGTCCTCCGAGAACCTGGGTGAGTGAGGACGCGCGCGCATGCGCCGCCGCCGCTGCCGCCGGCGCCACCGCTGAGGGGCGACGCCGTAACGCCGACGCCGCTGCGCTTTGAAAGGACCCGGATCCGATCCTTGTGGCACTCCGCTCCTCCACCGCCTCGGCTCATCCCGATCGGCACCTCTCTGGCGCCACGGCGGGGCTCAGCTGACTTCAGTGGTCTGTAAGGGACACGCAAAGGAACGAATTAAGCATTCTCGATACGCGGAGAAAAAAATACCGTTCTTTTGATTTTTTACGATAAATTACGTAGTGTCGACCATTCTATCAGACAGTCTAGTTAATAATCTTCATCGTTACTATGGTTCGACGTTTCGACCATGGATTGTGGTCATCATCAGGCTTAAAATTAACCTAAGTATAAATATTTTTTTACAAAATAATTGAATTGTACATAGGTTGCATACATATTATACGTTTTAGCATAATTTACATACCTAAAGTAAAATTTCTATTCGCGATACACTGCACTTTTTACAAGACAAACATCCTTGTGATTAGAATTTGGAGCTCTAAGGAAAATGGCACAGTAAGTACACTTTCTTCCGCTTGGGGTATAAATTTACTCGGACGTATAGTTTTGCTCTGAAACATTTCTTAATAAGCGTGTTCCGCTCTTGTGAATAACATCTCAAAATAGTTCGTTCATGTCATTATGGGAAAAGCATATTAAAATTTTGGATTGTTTCTTGAATATTAAATAGTATTTTATAATTAAACGAAGATGATAAAATTACAGTATGTTGTTTTATTTCTGAAGAGGATTACGTTCATAATTTGGGTGGACGTTATTTTTGATAACAAGAGTCACTATTTAATATTCAATATCCTACACATCCGCGAATCTAACAGGTGACTGCATTTCCACAAAAATTAATTTGGTAGCACATCAGTTCCAAAATGACTCAATTCTTCCATTCTATCGTACAAAAATGACTGTCAAATCGACAAAATAATTCACTGTTTTACTCGTGGAACGAAGTCCAATTTCAGGGTCAAATAATGTATCCGAAAAGGTAATTCATGCTATTTGCGTCAAATTTTCAATACATTAACTCTCAGAAAACAGCTAAATATTTTCCAATTCACCATACGGCAGTTTAAAATATGTTTATTTGAGGTTGTCAGTATCATCATACCAATCTCTCATAGTCTTAAACCAGATCTTGCAAATATTTTTTCTCGGTCTCAGATGATAATTTAATCCGTACTTTGGTTTACTTTGTCGCATGACGAAAAGACACATTCTACACCGTTACATTACTGTTACTCGTTGAATGTTGCTAAAGACGTTAATGAGGTAACGGCTCAGTTAGTGTTAAGGACCAGCAGAGAGGTTTACTGCCCTGAGGCCGCCCGTGGCGTCTGCCCCTCCCACTTCCCTTCCCTTCCCACTTCGCCTACTGTCTGTCTGTCTCTTCCGCTGTTCGGCGTGCTTGCGTTCGCTGTAGCTTCCTCGTCGACGACAGGCCAGGTAACTGTGGTCGTGTCCTCGCGATGCCTCTGCGAGTTAAAGCCTCGGCTCCCACCTCCCGCCACCCACCCTGTGCGCCTTCCTCGAGGCAAACGCTCCGCCCCTGTGGCACTGGAGTTGGAGCCAGCGTTTGCCAGGCTTCGCTAAACGCAGTCCCGCCGGGACGATTCACACCTGTCGCCCCGACGCTGTACGCTGTTTGTTCCTCCAGCTACAGTGACGAAATTCCACTTAAATCCCCATCAAAACATCTTTTTTTTTAATCTTTCCTCGGAAATTTGCAGAGGTCGAGCACTGAACTTTTGTACCTTTTTATTCCTGTTACGTCATGCATCACCCAGAGACCTGTATTTTTACGGTATGCATGGAAACAACTTGGCTGTCTTCATTTGCAGTTGTCTTTGCTGCGCAGTGTCGACCATACGCCGGACACTTCGCTGGAATGAAGCTTGTGGCGCTTGCGCTTGTATGTGGCGAGGCCATGCGAGCGAGGGCATTTGTACCACGCGGACGAGGCCTAGCCCGCCACTGGCAGGGGTGTCGGGGCAGAGCGATAGGGCTGGAACTTTCTCGTCTCGTGGGTATGGGACTGCTCAAGGCAGACACGTCAGAGTCCGACTCCTTATTATGTTGGAGAGGGAAAAACAACGCTAGAGCCACGACTATCAATAGCCATTTATCGGTTTCTTTGGACTCTAATGCTGATGACAGGAGCAGAGCGTAGTTTTCACGTTATTGCCTGCCCGTGAGACTAAAACGCGAAGAGTTTAATACACTGACTGCAGTTCCAAAATCTAGTCACGCATGAACGGTGGGGAGATTACCGTTAATGCTCCATTATAAACAAAATTATGGCAGAAAAGTGCAGCTCCTAATAATTAGCCGCTTAGAATGGCTGCCACCTTGCCCCCACCCCCAGCACCGCCACCAACGCTATTGTTCGCGCTTTTATTGTTGGGTGTTGGAAACAAGGCAGATGCTGTCAGATATCGCACGATATTGCTAATCTTTGAGCTGAAAGACATTTGTTGGTAACTCAGTAGTTCTGAAAAACTGACAAAATCTGTAATGCACAAATATTCCTCAATCTCATTAATAGTTCATGATATTTTAACAAACAAATCTTCATTCTGGTGGCGTCTGGTTATAAGCGTGTATACGAAACTAGATGTAATATTAGGATAACTCAATATTTATTCTGGACTCAAAGATTCTGCCTTCAAAAATATATCAAGGAACATTTCGTTAATTTGTAAACCTTGATAATACAACTTGAGTCTTTAACGTTCAAACGAACCTTCCACTAGGAACCAGTCTGATTTATCGGAATTTTCAAATCATGCGTGTGTGTTGGTGTGTGGAGTTACCCCTTTGTTCTCTTCACAGTTGGATTTCAAAAACAAACTAATTCTATTTAAGATAGCATGTTTTTCTGCAGATCCTTTGCGTGACCAAACTTGTGACTGTTCATTAGTTGAATAAACATATGAACTCGCTTGCAAATCGACATTAGAAAATTCAAAATTCAATTCTCGTAGAGACCAGCGGGGACCTCTTAACTAAAATATACTTTTCTGGTTATGTGTGCTATTTATGAGTCCTAATTCAATAAATGTTTTAAAATCTACCTCTGAATGCATTCTAATTGGCCATCTCACAAATAATAATCTGGAAGTGAAACTTCGCATTTATGTATAGTTAGAATGATAAACGCTTGTAAACTATTATCGGAAAAGCACAGAAAGAGAGAATTTGTAATGGGAATATAACATTTTTTTGAGCCCAGTAACATTTTCATTGAATTTTTATATTAGTTTGTTTTTGTTTGTGTTGTAGTTTTTCTTTTAGGGCCGAATTTTATTTAATTGTTTGATAATTTTTTAATGATTAATTTAAAAAGTAATAGTAGAAATGAAAAAACTCATTAATTTGTAAGTAATTTGTAAGTGCCTTCTTCCCTTATTTCAAGACATATTATATATTTTATTCACATTCCTAATATGACTTTTTTTAAACTTTGCATTCGAAATCGTCTTGAAATTTTCTTGTAAATTAGGACTAACTGAACTTGAGCATTAATGCATTTATATTATTTCTTTTCAGAATTTGAAAAGTTAAGACACTTCTTTTCTTTACTCTGACTTTTTTAATAATTTAAATGGGTTTCAAGTATTACGTTGTGATACACTTCAACTTCAATTTCTAGCATATGTATGTGACCGTTTTTTAAGATTGCTTGTGTTCATGAATCCATTTATTTTCAAATTTGATAGGAATTGAAAAAAATTGGCATTGGAAGATTGCCTCTTTATCTTTTAATTCAGATATCCGTATTCATCTGTCTTATTTCCACAATTATATCTGGGTCGAAATTATCTATAGTTCAATGTGTGACGCAAACGTAGAGTCCAGTCCGCTCACTCTGGGAATAAAACGGTGGCTCAAACGCATCATTCTCCCCCTCACTTCGCTTTGCATCGTCTGGTCCCCGTTTGGTCGTAACATTCACAGAATTCGCTATTTGCCTTGATTGATTTACTCACTCGTCCCTAATGTTGCAGCAACAATGTACGATCGAGAAAAAGAGAGAGGACCCAACGAAGGTACATTGTTGTTTCCATTGTTGGGATGTAGGTGGCGCGAACAGTCACAGGGCGTTGAACGCTAGCCACAGCGAGGACTCTGTGGCAGACCCCTCTGTCGCCAAGAAGGCGTCCGACGGTAAGTCAGACTGTGATCCCCGTGTAGCGCCCCGCATGACGCCCCTTCGCCCCGCGTTGATGTCGTTGGCAACCCTGCAGTTCCGGCCGTCCGCATGTTGGTAGCCCTGCGGCTGTTGTGTTTCCCCGTAGTCTGTTTGGTGGCTTCCTGGCAGATCGCGCGCGTTGTCGAGCTGTGGCGACCCGCCCCCGCGGGGACTAACAGCAACCGCCACGCGCCCTACCTCGCAGCGCCTGCCCCCGCCCCCGCCCCGCCCCTGCCCCGCCCTCGCCGTCTCGTCAGCGCGAGAGGCTGCATTGCGCTTCCCCTTCGCGAACACTAACACGACAACGCGGCCAACGCGCATGCGCAGCCAGGGTGGTGTCTCGAAGAGCCTGCATCACGGCCATCTTGAGCCGTTATGGGCAGCCATCTTGTAGCATCGCAGAGCTGTGCCCTGTACCAACACAACTTCCTACGACTTCACACAACTAGCTTTGTTCGTTTTTTTTTTCATGAGCTTACTAATCTTTTTTTAGAGAAGTCAGTCATCAGTTTTATGGGGAAAATGTGAATTAACTGGAATTACAGATGCATTTTCATAAGAGAACTAAGGCCGCCGGCGATAAGTCGTGCCGAAATAATCCTCATACATAAAAATGTTACTTTAATAACTCATCATTAATATACAAATATGATATTCCCATCGAAAATGACATTTTTCAGAAAGGAAGATATTTTCACACTTGATGAACGGTATTTCATTTTCACATATTAATGATATTCC